TGCACATAATGATGGTAGCAACTCAATAAATAGTATTGGCTCAGTAAGCTCTCCAGGTTAGTCCTTTCCCAGTGAGTTAGCTTGTGGTGTTGCTTTACCATTGACTATCCCAGGGACTGGGGAATGTATATTCTTTTATCTGGCAATCTCTACCATCCATTCTCCTCCAGAGTTGCTCCCTCTGATTTTCCCCAATGATGTTTGTCAGAGGTATGGGGTGAGGGGAAGGGGGGCTCTAGGGAGACTTGTGAGCTGTAGCACTTTAATTACAGCAGCTGAGGTTTGGTTGGTGGCAGCCTTGGCTGTCTGGCCCACCAACTGGTTTCCTGGGGTGACAGGATCTTTCCTCCTCTGGTGCCCTCTACAATGGATGATTGCCACTTCCTTTGGCTCCCAGACTACTTCTAATAATTGGCAGACTTCATCTTTGTTTTTAACTGTCTTTCCTTCAGCCAGGAAGAGTCCTCTCTCTTGATACAATGCCCTATGTACACATAGGATGGCAAAGGCATATCATGAGTCCATGTAGATGTTTACCCTCTTATGGGTTGCCAATTTTAAGGCTCGGATTGATGTCCAAAGTTCAGCCCACTGAGCTGACCATCCTGAGGCAGTGACCTAGCCTTGATCACCATGTCCTGAGAGGTAATGGCATAAACAGCCTATCGAGTTCCATCTTTCATGTAGCTGCTGCAGTCAGTGAAAACGGTGAGGTTGGGGGCCTTAAGCAGTGTGTCCACAAGATCAGGACATCCAGAAAAGACCTTATCAAAGGCCTCTTTACAGTTGTGGTTAGGAGGCACCAGTGTGACTGGGAGGAAGCTGGCAGGTTGAGGGATGTAGAGTCTGGAGTCTAATTCAGGGATTTCCAATCAATAAGCCCTGTTAGTGAGCCATCCTAGAGCTGGCTAGTCATTTATATCCCCTGGTGTTCATCAGGGTGGTCACCAAGTGAAGGACCTAGGCATTAATAACTTGGCCTAAGGTTAGTTTGTCTGCCTGTTTAATCAATTCAACAGTGGCAACAAAGACTCACAGGCAAGGAGGCCGTCCAGATACCACTGGGTCAAGTCTTTTAGACAGGTAGGCTATAGGTCTCTCCCAAAGTCCAACAGGCTGAGTCAGAAACTCCTAGTGCTGCCTGACTTTTTTCATATACAAATAGATTGAATTTTCCTGTGACATCAGGGAGTCCCAAAACTGGGGTTTTCCTGAGACTTGACTTGAGTTTCTGGAAAGCCCACTCTTACAGGGATCCCCATTTGAAAGGGGCTTCTTCTGGGCCTCTTAATAGTTTGTACAGTGGCTTAGACTTTTCATCAAAACCTGGGATCCAAATTCTACAGAATCCTGCGGCTCCCAGGAATTTACGTAGTTGCTTCTGAGTTGTGGGCCGAGGCAATTCACATACTACCTGCTTTCTTTCATGCCTAAGAGCACGGTGTCCTTTAGTCAAAATGAATTCTAAAAATCATACCTGGGTATGGCAGATGTGGGCTTTCTTCATTGAAACTTTATACCTGACCTGGGACAGAAGCTGGAGAAGCTCTTGAGTTCCCTTCTAGCCAATATTCTTGGGTTGCTCCAGGGAGCAGAAGGTCATCAACATATTGGAATAGAGTGCATCCAGTCTCTTGGCTTGGAAAATTTTCAAAGTCAGTTGCAAGTGCTTCTCCAAACAAAGTCAGGGAATTCTTGAACCTCTGGAGGACCTGGGTCCATGAGAGCAGAGTTTTCTTTTGGGTATCTGGATCTTCCCATTCAAAGGCAAATATCAGTTGCCTCATGGCTGATATTGCAAGGCAAAAGAAAGTGTCCTTGAGATCCAGACAAGTGAACATTCAGACTCCGTGGGGAGAGCACTCAGCAAAGTATATGGATTGGGTATAATGGGATGTAAGGACACCATGGTGGCGTTCATAGTTCAGAAGTCCTGGACTGGCCAATAGTCTCCAGAGTTTCCCTTCTTCATGGGGAAAAAGGGAGTGTTCTATGGAGACTGACATTTGACCCGGGTTCCATCCCTGAGCCAGTTGATGTGCTTCTTTACGGGCAGTCTAGCATCTCAGCTTCTTGGGTACTGTCAATGGTGCACAGGTTGTGCCAGAGGTGTCAATTCAACCACTACAGGTTGGTGGTTAATTGCCTGGCTGGCTCCTTTCATCCCAGACTGCAGGAAAGTGTCTAACAAATGAAGAAAGTACTTCATCATCTCTGCTGGGTGCCTTGGGGATGAACGGTCACCATTTCTCCTCCTGGGACATTGTCACAGTTAGGATTTTGGCAGACTGACTACTAAAGCAGCTGAGCCTGATGAGTCAAAGCTGATTTGCACTCTAAGTTTAGTCAATAGGTCCCTTCCCAGCAAAGGGACTGGGCAATCAGGCAGGCACAAGAACTTGTGGGGGTAACCAAGTGTCCTCCTAATTGGCAGTTTCTTGCCTGCAGTAAGGGCTGGGTCCTGGTGTTTCCAGTGGCTCCCATGATAGTAGATTTTTGGCCTGATGGGGGAGCTAGAGGCTGGATTACAATGGAGTGTTTAGTGCCAGTATCTGTCATAAATGTTATCAGTTGGCCCCCTAGCTTGACCTTGACCCAGGGCTCCCTGGGGCCTAGGATCCTGTGGCCTGATTGTTCCTATTCTGATTCCATAATGGCTAGGAGGTCTCTTGGGAGCTCTGGGTGCAAAGTCTTGGGGGTTCCCAGTGGGCTTCAGGTTGTTCTTCTTTGGTTTGCCTTCCACTTGGGTCATTCACATTTACAGTATCCACCCTCTTTGTAGTATGTGCATTGGGGTGGTCTAAGCCTGGGGCAGCTGGGTTTTGGTCCCCCTCTTGGACTGAGTGGGGCATCCAGTTGTCTGAGGGTAGTGGCCAACAGAGTTGCCTTTTGCTTCATCCACTAATCTGCTTCCTTTCTTTCCTCTCATTCTTTGTTCACAAAGACTCAATTAGCAATCTCCAGGAGCTGAGTGGCGTTCATCCCAGCAAAGCCTTCATGCTTTTAGAGTTTTCTACAGATGTAAGGGGCTGATTGGGCAACAAAGGTGACATTAATCATTTGTTGGCTTTAGGAGCTCTCTGGATCAAATGGAGTATAGATTCAATATGCCTCGCAGAGCCTCTCATAAAGCTGCCCAGGTGGCTCATCTGTCTTCTGAATTATTTCTGTAGGTTTTTGCCATGTTAGTAGGTTTTGCACAGCCACTCTCAGGACTGAAATCCAGTCAAGCTTTTCATTTGAAAAAGCAGTTGTGACCCAAGCCTCAGGATCTATCACATTGTTGGGGACATGCTTTTGTAGCTATTTCTTTGTTGTCACAAGGACTCTGCAGAGTTCCTCTGTGTTAAATATGGTGAGGAGTAGTTGCTCACAGTCATCCCAGGTGTGCTGGTGGGTTTGAAGTATAGACTCCATGAGATCTATCATTGCCTGGGGCTATTCCAAGTAGGAGAGGGTGTGGTGTTTCCAATTAAGCAAATTGGTAGTGGTGAAGGGCTGGTAGTAGAGAATTGCTCTGCCTTCTGAAATAGCCCAATCTGTGCCTGTCTGGGAGAGTCCTTGGGTCTCCTGAAGGGGCATCTGAAGAGTGAGGTTGCCCCAGGCTGCAGCAGCTCCCTGGGTGATGGTGAGTGAGGCAAAATCTGGGCGTGGGATTTGGGATGACTGGTGGCCTCCCCCCAGTGTGGGCGGAGCTGGCACTGGCTCCTCAGGCTGCTCTTCAGGCTCCAGGGAAATAGGTGAGGGCATGTTTCGATTACTGGCTCAGCCAGGACATATGGGGGTAGAGTTGCTAATGGCTCCTCTTTTGCGGGGAGCCCTGCAGGTTTGGAGCCATGGGTTTCTTTTGGTCAGAGTTTGGCACTAGGGGCATGACACAGGTGTCCAAAATGGTGCATTGTTTTTTTCCCTCTTATGCAGATTTATGCCCAGGTTGGAATGACTTGGTTAATCTGTACCCAGGAGTCAGCACAGAAAAATTGCTTGGGGTGGCCAGGGGTGCCAGTAACAACGTTGTATCTAGCCCACATTTTAGGGATATGTTAGGTTCCCTGTGGTGCCCATATAACCCTGAAAGAGGGTCATTCACCCTCACAGAGGTAAAGGACATCAGATCCCACATAGTCAATTGAGCAGTTTGATTCTTGGTTGCAATGGCTTAAAAGTCAAATTGGTACATGTTGTGAGCATGCCAAAAACCCCAACAGGATAGAAAAATGGAAGAGAAGAGATGGCTATTTTACCATGCCCCACAGGGGACTGCTTTCTGCCTATCTCTCTCTTTTCCTCTCTAGTGAGCACATGCACCAGCTGGCAAAAGAGAAAAAAAATCCTAAAAATGTAATTGAGATAGAGGATTGGAAACTCTGCTCATTCTACGTAAAAAGTATAGCCGGTGGAAGGAGTCAAGTAAGGCTCCTGGTGTACAAAGCTATATGTATGGGAATTAGTCATCCACATTCCTCTCCCCATGCTAAATATCAACAAATGCAGAACAAACACTACCTCAGAGGCATAGAAATGAAATAAAAGAGAGAATTATGTACTAGAGGTATAGGATTCTTTCTACTGAATAATGTTAGGCTTATCCAAAGACGATAAAGGACCATAATGATGCCTTTTGATATTTTTTTGCTTTTCTTTCCCATTATATTTCTCTAAGTTTATATTACAAGCCGTTTTATACTGTCCACAATGTATGTCACATTAGTACACACTAACAAAGCAAATACCTGGAATGAATTGGCCACAGAGGTGTCAAATGCCAATTATACCAATTTGAAGAAACAATATAAAACTACAATGGACAATCAGGGGTTTTATAAATGATAATGATTGGCCTAAACTATCTTTGCATTTTTTCCCTCTCCACTGAACTTTCCACTACCCATTTCAAAAGCTTGGTTTCATTCCAATGTTGATGGAAAGGGAGAAAGGAGGTATCTCAAATGTGAACTGATTGTTTCTCATTCAGTAGAACAGAGTTTTATTTTTTAAGTCTATGGGGTGCAGTTTCTGAGGGCTAGGGCCTTGTGGAAGGTCCGACTAAGGGCATTCTTCACCTCCTTATTTCTCAGGCTGTAGATGATGGGGTTCAACATGGGAGTCACAACCGTGTAGGACAATGATAGCATCTTCTTGCTCTCAGGAGAGTTATTTGATTTAGGCCGAAAATACGTAAGGCTCAAAGAGACATAGAAAAGGGAGACCACAAGGAGGTGGGAAGAACAAGTAGAGAAGGCTTTGTTCTTCCCTTTAGCTGATGGAATCTTGAGGATGGCAGCAGCAATGTGCATGTAGGAGCATAGGATCAGCAAGCAGGGTATCATGACGATCAGAATGGTTCCGACGATGGCATAGATCTCAAACAATGCTGTGTCGGCACAGACCAGCCTCAGCACAGGGGGGCTGTCACAGAAGAAGTGGTTCACCTTGTTGTTGCCGCAGAATGGAAAACTGAAGAGCCATGTGGTCTGTACAATACCTAATGGGAAGCCTGGAGACCAGGAAATAGCTACTAGTTTGGCACATGTCCTTTGGTTCATGATGACTGGGTAATGCAAGGGACTGCAGATGGCTACATAGCGGTCATATGCCATGGTGGCCAGAAGGAAGCACTCATTCACCCCAAAGAAGAATAGGAAATACATCTGAGTGGCACAACCAAGAAAGGAGATGGTTGTATCCTGGGCAAGCAGGGTCTCCAGCATTTTGGGCACAATGGCTAGGGTGAAGCCAATCTCTAGGAAGGATAAGTTCCTGAGGAAGAAGTACATGGGACTATGCAGCATGGGGTCACCCAGAGTCACTAGAATGATGAGGCTGTTTCCCATGAGGGTGACCAAGTAGATGACTAGAAATGCCAGGAAGAGTAGTGACTGTATTTCAGTAGGTAGAGAAGAGAAGCTCATGAGGATAAACTCGCTTACTCTTGTCCAGTTCCCTGTAGCCATAAGTATTAGATATAAGTCCCCAGCTGCGGTCTTCAAGCTCTGTCTAGTCTTTATTGCAACAATCAGATTCTGGATTTGTTTTTCAGATTCCTTCTTAGTGACAGGAAAAGAGGTAATTTCAAGATCTTGGTAGGAAGAGGAAAGCTTGTGTTATCTAAGAAGGAAGACACAAGCAAGAATAATCAGGCCTAAGCTGTTAGCTGTTCCTAGGTCAGCTAATGGAGGAGAAGATGGTTTTCTATTCACACATTAACACATACAGACAATCTATGTAAAGTCATAATCAAACATGTCCAATATAAGACACATTTTTGGAGATAGTGATGTTCCTGAAAACATTTAAATTTTTGATAAATGTGCTCAATGTTTATGAACCCATTAAAGAACACTTGTATGTGAAGTCAGAAGTTTAAAAAATATTATTAGAATGTAGAATGATGTATCTAAATAATTTTTCTAGTTTTCCTGAATCTTTCTTGCCTGGTTAGGATATATAAGAGGTGAGTGAGGGTCTAGGGTCTAGCATGTATTGACAACAGTTTATATATGTACAGTTTTGTGCCTTTTATCTCTATTTGGTAGGTGTGAAAATTGATCTCAGAGGAGCTGAGAATAGCAATTAAGTGGCAGATCTTGAACCCAAACCACATCTGTTGGATTCTAAATTCCTTCTTATTTCTGCAAAACCATGTTTTGTTGGACTATTCTGCCTTGTTCTGGGCACTAACTAATTAATGTCTTATGGAATTAGAATTGGAATTTCTACAAAATCACAGTTAAGACAGAAGAAAAGTTAACCAAGAGAACCACCATTATTTCCCCTTAGATTCAACTGGACCTCAATTTTGCATTATGTGTTTCTAAATTGCAGTTTATTATCAAGAGGCTTTTCATTTTTTTGATAACCTATAATATTGAATTCTAAAATAGAAGTTTGAAATGACACTGGAAAATAACATAGGTTGAAAGGCTGTTCATGCCAGAAAAAAACATTTTGTATGCCATAAGGATATACAGGAATTAAATCTAAATATAAGGTAAAATATTAAAATAAACAATAAATACGAATCAATTGGATATAGTTAGGGAACTATGCATAAGAAAAATAAAAGTTTTATAATTAATAAAAATAAAAACATTATGAAGATCAACCAAAATCAGAATTTACACAAAATTAAAGACAACAAGAATATGATCAATGTTTTGAACATGTCAGCATAATAGACTTTTATTTCATGCTAAGGAACTTGAACTTTATTCTATAGATAAAGAGATTCACCTTAATAGTTGAAGCAGTGGAGTGATATTGTCTTAAATGCAAGATAGAAAAATCAGTAAGACATTGTGAGAATGGGTTATATAGGGTGTGATTAGGGGAAGAATGGAAGCTGTATATCTGGGATCAAGGAGACCAGGTGATATGCACATCATTTATATCAGTTTTTGCTCATTGTCCATTTTAAAGCAGCAAACCTATTGAAAAGAAGCTAAATATTAGTCAGATTGTGGTGAACAAGTTGCATCTTAAGGAGACATTTAAAACTCAAAGGCATTGGTGTCAGCAGTGGCATGGAGGTTAAGGCACTGGATCCCACATGGTTTGAATCCTGGACCTGGCAGTTTGAAAATCATGCCAGGTGTGTATGCATGCCCCAACGGATCCCACATGGTTTGAATCCTGGACCTGGCCGTTTGAAAATCATGCCAGGTATGTATGCATGCCCCAAGTCCTGAGAGGAAACTGGAAGAGAAGGAATTGCAGCATGATCATTCCTCAGAGGGTGAGGGGTGGGTGATTTCTCACTTTCTCTCTCAATGTCTCTCTCTGGTAAACTCATGTTCCTTATAGCAAAAAGAAACAAACAAACCAACAAAACTCTAAAGCATCTATGAAGAAAATAAAAATCATTTCTATAAAAGAAGTGTAATCCAACTGATCTAAGATTTTTCTGGAGCACTAAAAATTAAGTAAAGCAACATCTAAAGTTTTGAGCTCAGCTTCAGAAAAACAAATACAAGTTAAAAAAAATAAAATAACCACTGATTCAGGAAAGAGAAAATCAACTAGAAACTCTCTTACTGTCATCTGTCTTTCAGAATTAGTAAACAGAAAATCTTGGGAGATTTGAAGATACAACAGTTTAATGAGATGAATCTAAGACATCAGACCACTTGTTTCCTTTTCAAACAGTAGTCTGGGAGAAACAGGAAAAACATCAATTTGGAGCTCTCAACAAAACTTTATAAAATATTAAATATTAAATAAGTAGTCTTAAAATGAGTCAGACAAGTTTACTCTCCAGAAAAAGCCATGATTAATAAACGAAAAGACTGTGGAGCACAGTGCTAGAAACTAAAAAACTAAAATAATTCATTAAAACACAGGTTTGAGATTTTATACCCAAATACTGGGAGAAATTATGAAAAGACAAGAATTTGAGAAGAACAATGAATTACAATATAAGAAATAAAATACATTTAATAGGCATTTCAGAATGATAGAACAAAAGTGAGGAAAGAGAAATGATATTCAAAGAAGTACCATGGAACAAGATAAACTTCAATAAGCAGCTCTTTAGCAAGTTGATGGGGAAATAAATGTTATATTCTCACCTTGATATAGTGCAATATATTCAATATGAATAATGATTTAAATGTAAAAATGAAGATCTAGTTGAGTTTAATGAAAACTTTTAAAATATTTAATCTCATTTTAATTAATATTTACTTCAGCATTTCTAAATATGTATTCTAAAGCAGAACTCAGAAAATGTTTCACTGATTTGACCATATAAAAATTATTATAGATAAATTTGGGGCCAGCAGGTGGCATAGTGATGCTGGACTCCCACAGGGTTGATCCATTGCAGTTTGAGTTCTAGGCCCAGTGGTTTGAAAACTATGCCTGGGAAGATTAAAAATACAAAAAATAATAATAATAATAATAAGTGCTGGCAGGGGTGTGGTGGAAGGGGAACTCTGCTACACTGTTTGTGGGAATGGAAACACTTGTGCACTACTAGTGGAAATATAATCCAGTGAAGCCACTGTGGAAAACAGTATGGAGGGGCCTCAAATATCTACAAATAGAACTACCATTTGATCTAGCAATCCCACTTCTGGGTATCTCCCCAAAAGACAGGAGAATGCTCAGTCAGAAAAACACTTGCATCTCGATGTTTATTGTGCGATTATTTATGATTGCTAAGACATGGAACCAACCCAAATGTCCATGAAGAGTTGAATGGATTGAAAAAGAGTGGCACATTAACTCTATGGAATACTATTCAGTCATAAAAAAACACAAGACCCTGGAATTTGATAGAAAGTGATCAAATATGGAAGATTTACTGCTGAGTGAAGCACACCAGGCTATGAAAGAAAGACATTGTTTGTATCCACTTAATATATACCTATATACCTACTATCTACTCTATATGATAGAGATTGAAATATTGGAGGGTATAAAAGCAGTGAAAATAGTTATGGACCCTGAAGACATTGTAGGAGGGGGAGGAGAAGAGAAGAGTATAGTCAAGGAAATAAGGAGAATAAATAGAGAGGCATGACATTTGTGGGACACAGAAATGGTTTATTATCTGTTAATAATAATGTATAGTATTCTCAACTGGACTGGTCTGAGAAGTATTTCATGTTGAATAAATTCTCTTTATAAGCCAAATGATGTAAAGTGATCAAATGTAATATACATATATATATATATATGAAAATCATGCATGGCATGCATGCCCTTGTCCAAGAGAGAATGGAGGAGAAGGGATTGTAACATGGCCATTCCCCCTGAGGGGTGATTTCTCACTTTCCCTCTCACTTTCTCTGTCAAACACACTCACCCCATGCCAAAAACCTAACAAAAAAGAAAAAAAATTAAATAAGTTTGAGTATTAAAAACCAAAAATAGAAACCAAAATATGAATTACAAATGGAGACATTTGTTAATGTCAAGAGATTCTTACAAATTACCTAAGAGAATATTAGATAAAGCTATAATCATTCAACTCATAAAATCAGAGATGAATGGCTAAAAATATGAAAATAGTTTAAAATCATCAGAAAGCAAACCCAATTTTTTTTTTTTAAAAAGTGGACTACGTCAGATTAAGAAGTTTCTGCATGGCGAAAGACACAGTAATTAGTGAGAATTCACAACACTCAGAATGGGAAAATATTTTTGTAAACAATGTGTCAGATAAGGAACTGATAACCAGAATACACAGGAAACTCAAGCAATTGTCTGGAAAAAAGATGATCAACCCTATTAAAAGAGGGGAGAATGAGTTGAAAAAAAAAAAACACTCCCTAAGGAACACATACGAATAGCCAAAAGGCACATTAAAAATGCTCAACATCCCTCATCATAAGGGAAATGCAGATCAAAACCACAATGAGATAATATCTAACCCCAGTCAGATTGACTAATATTGGGTGAAGGAGGACAGTCTAAGGAAAGACATTAAGGAGAAAAATAGAAAGGGATGGCATTTATGGAACAAAGAAATGGGTTATTATCTGTTGAAGATAACGTGCATAGTATTCTCAACTGAACTGGTGAGAAATGTATACATGTTGGAATATTTACTTTGCAAGCTAAGTGACATATGTGACTGAATGTATAAAAGCAAACTGAAATAAAAAATATAAGAAGAAAAAAAAGGAGGTGATTTTATTCTAAATTTTAAGATGTGATAATAAGTATTTTGAAAGAACATAAACATCCAAACACTGGAAGTGGAGATAATAGGTGGATTTCTCAGTACACATTAGAGACTTCAACCTAACAATTCTTTATCTACAATTGAGATTAAGATAATTTGTAAATTACCTTGGGCTATCGGAATGGTCCTCTTAGCTTTATTTATAATAGGGTAATTTAAATGAATAAACAATAGATGACACTCTAAATATATAAGATAGTAGATTGGGGTTAGCTCCATAGTTCCCTGATTAAGGGAGCCAAATTCCACATGACAACTATGGTTCAAATTCTG